ACCGGTTCTGACGAACCTGACCAAACCCTTGCCAAACTAAAACCGGAATCAGACTACTCTGACCGTGGCGTAACCATTGTGGAGGAGCGTAAGCGGAGGCGAATGGTGTCGAACCGTGAATCGGCTCGGAGATCACGTATGCGTAAACAGAGGCATCTAGAGAACTTACGGAACCAGTTGAACCTGTTTAGGGTGAAAAACCGGGAACTGAACACCCAGTTGCAGATACTGCATAACCACTGTGACCAAGTGCGAGCCGAAAACGATTGGCTTCGGTCCGAGCGAACCCTGCTCTGTCAAAAACTGTCCAACATAACTCAATTTATGGCTTTCCAATAACTGCAACCCCTATCATCTGCATGGTCATGCAATAATCTCATAGCGGATAAACCTTATTGACCAGTTAAATTAATAATCATAACTAGGTCACGCTTTAATATTTCTAAGACAAAATAACTTGTCTTAACGTCTTCAAAGTACTAATTGTAAATTGTTAAATCTAGCTAAAAGTGATGTTGGGGGTGGGGTTCCGTTGCTATTTTTTATGAGAACGGGAAAGGGTTTTTGAAAATACCGTTGTTACTTTTCCCCTTTTTTCTTTCAAAACCAGATGGGTTGTAATCGAGTATAATTATATATTGTTATTAGTATGTGAAAATCCCCGTTTCTTCAGTTATTCTAGTAGGCAACTTGCTTAAATATAAATTGCAAGGTTATGCTGCAGACTTCAGAGTCCAAATCTCGTGTATATGAATCTAACTCATGCATAGTCTGAAAATAAAAAGGGGAAAATTAAGAGAACAAATAAAATATACGATGACATGATGATCGATCTATAAATGACTTGGAGTCTAATCTCGTAAAAATACGTACACTGAGACCCCAGCAACAAACGAATGGACACTACATGCACGAGAACTTATAATTAAATCTATAATTCAATCCTAATAGATAGTCAAGCAATAATGTTCTATAAATTCTTTTCTTAATTTCTTAATGAGCTAACTCCTCATAGCTTTTATATCGTAGCATATATATTCATGAATGGTTCTGATATGATAGAAACCATGGGTATTTTTATTTTGAAGGATTGGTGAACCAAACGTATGATATTTGCAATTTCTTCATATCAGTTATTTTTCTGACATATGAATTCCCACAACAGGACCATGGGTTAAAATTAATTACCATATCAAATCATATTTTAAAGATATAAATAAATAAATTTGTTCAGGACTATGAATATCCTACACGATAACCAATATTGTTCAAGTATAAAATATCTAATATTATAAGATAGGTCTAGCTCTTTTGCTGGGTTATAATTATTCTTTCGATATAGAGTAGTAGTTGAATTTGAAAGTGAAATTAGAATAAAAAACATAAAATAATTCGATTTTCCCTATGCTTCTCACGGAAAATCAATACGTCACCTTCTTGATCAAATAAAGTAAGAATTTAGTCCCTCCTTTCCTTTTATGTGAAGGTGATTGGTTTTGGATTAAGTGCAATCGAGATGCGTACTTAATCCTATAATAATAAAAAGTGATTGGTGGCTTTATAATCGTAATTTTTTATAACTGAGGGGTCACAGATTATAAACAGAGACCTAAACGGATGGGGATCACCTGTCCCAAAATGGTATCCCCATCCCTGTCCTAGCCAGTTAGAAAAAGAGAAAAAATATAAGAAAAAAAGAATTGCAAGTAATATAGATTTTTTTAAATGAGATAGCATTTTCTGATGGGATGGAGACACCATTTTGGGACAGGTGATCCCCATCCGACCTAAACCAATCACCATCGAATAAGCAAGTGCATTCGTCATTTCTAACTTTATTATTTTACGGCAAGTTGCATTATATTATCACTCCTCATTTTTATAGGACAATTTGTAATAGTTTTAAGTAAATTAATAAATGTAAAATAGTAAATAAGTATTAAACTTACATTTGAAACTGATTTATTTACTGTTCTCGATCACTTAAAGTATTTAAGTATATACAAGTATTATGATAACAAAATTATTTATTGTAAATGAAACATTAAAAATGGTCATATAAAAAGTATAAAAACAAGAGCGCAAAGAGAGTCTTATAGAAAAAGACTAAAGGTAAGAAAATAGTTCATATATTAAATTTTTAAAAGTCTTTTACATTATGGCATCTTCCACATTCATTTATTAATTTCATCGACTTTTAAATGAATACTAAATAATTTATTATATATCATAATTAAAATTAAGGGGCTCAAACCTAAGTCCTATATTACATTCTCCATGGGAGAGGATGTCGACCATCTAATATATCAAAACTTCATGATAGAAAAATATGTTTTAACAAAGAGTAAAGATTCTCTCAATTAATGGAGAGACGAATACTATAAGAAACAAAGGAAAATATAACATAATAAAATATTTTTATCCTTTTATATATAATGTATAATATTTTTGTCATTAAAAATACAAGTAAAATAGCATCTGTATCCCCATTAATGAGAATTATATTTGAACTTCTAGTAAATTGTGATGTTATTTTGTAAGATATTTTACATTTTTATGTAACTTTTATTACTGTTTTTCTCCTCATTAAAAATTTATTCTCTATTTTATTATTGTTGAAGATATTATCCATTACTGATCAATATAAAAAGATTAACATTGTAAGTGTGTAACATTTTTTAAACAATCAAGGAAAATAACTATTATTATTTATATATATAATTTAGTTTTAATTATTTTCTAATAAGGATGACAGTAGTGCATTCCATCAGGGCTCCATATATCACTTCTCTTGTATTGCTTTAGTGTATGGATCCTGTTATTTGAAGTTTATTTTCTTATTATATTGGAAAGGAAAAAAACATTAATCGAAGTGTAGACTGTATATAGCTTTTGACAAATTTAATATTAGTAACAATATTAATAACATTTTTAATTTATGTGAAACTAATTAATCAAAATAATCTTATCCAAATTCTTCAAGTATTTTTTTGTATTTCTATGTTGATCGACCTTGAAAATTCTCAACCCAATTATGAAATCCCCTTCTTACTTTCACCATACTAAGTCTCCCCTCTTTATATTTTTTATCATATTCAGCCACGCCAACTACCACCAATAAAGATTTGCCAAATCTTTCTATCAATTACAATATGTTGTATCAATTATAAATTTTGAAAAATTATTATTATTAAAAAATAATAAATAGAATATAAATAAATAAAAGATAAACATAATTTTGGAGCTGAGACTTAACATTATCTGGAATACACTTAAAAGTATTACAAACTTCAATTTTTCATATTATTTCAGTCCAGTTTGGATCAGTTTCGATCCAAAAGATGAAACCAAAAACTAGATCGGACCAATCAATCTTTAAAAAATAAATCAAATATAATTCAAACACATTCAGTTTTTTCTCATTCAATCTATTTTAGATTGGTTTACGATTTTATTTTTAAACTAGTATGAATTTGAACCCCTCTAAACAACTGTCTTATTTATGAAAAAAATACTCTAAGCTAAAATATATACAGAAGAGTTTATGCAAAGTGCTTCTAAGTATTTTATCATTTATGCACTAAGGTCTAATGAGGGGTCAATACTATTAGAGTCCCTCTCTACCAGCCAAGTGCTTTTTGCTTGCAAGTTTATTAGTTTTTCGCTTTAAAATAGTCTAAAGTAGGTACTTCACTTTTGTAATTACATAGAGGACTACCTTCAAGCACAGTGATGGTTTTGATTATTAAAAACTAATACATCGTTTTCTACGTTAATGGTGGAAGTGTGAACAGAATTACAGGGACAAGCATCTAATACTCTATAGGGGATTGATGCATTTTAATTATTATTATTTATAAAAAATAGATATCAAATAAGCATGAAGCAGCACATATTCCACATGAAAGCACTCTTAGCGTCACTGAAATGGTCACATGACAATAACATTGAACCCAACAATGTACTTCTAAGTCTATATAGCACGGATAAAAAAGAATTGGGGAGAGCTCCCCTTACTCCAAGAGTAAGTGAAAAAAATATATTCCATATCATGATGATTCATTCTTAGGAAATCCAATGGTTTGAATTGGTGAGTACATCTAAACTATTGGATTTTATAAGATTGAATGACTAAGATGTATAATAGATTTTTTTACACTTTAGATCTCTCCCCAAAAGAATAAAAGTAAGACATTTATTTTACTTATAAACCCTTTTTCTTTTGTGTTGACCCTAAAATTCTCGCGTGATGTTTGGAAGGACAAATAGATAAAAACAATTGTGAAAGTTAACTCGTAATTAAATAATAATGAAATTTGTAAAAGCATTTGTAAAAATATATAGCGGATGGCAGATTGAGTTAGATATAAAAAGGAAGAACCTAGCTAAATCTTCAATATTGGTGGATGACAAAGTATACTTTTTTCGACGATAACAACATATCACTTTAAGTAATTGTAATTATAAAAGTTAATTGGTGTGAGTTGCTATGTAAAGTCATTAGTCCATCATCTATATGGTTTTTTATTAAAAAATGAATGATGTTTAACACATAAATGATTCATTAAAGGTATTATTATATGAAAAACACTTGTATAAGCACAAATAATCAAATACTTTAACTTCACTAATATAATATTTGAAAAATAAATACCCTTATAATATTATTTTTAGTAAATGTGGAAACATTTAACAAGATGTAACTTATAGTCATCCTGAATATATGTTTTATTTTTAGTGCACCAACCCTTTTCTATAATAAATATACTGTCTTTACCCATTGCTTGCAAATCCGGCCAGCTATATATGACGCTCCCATTAAACAGGCTTTACATTTAATAGTTTGGGCCACCGGCCCAACACTAACTTTTTGGACCACTCACTCCCAAGCCCAAATCTGAGAATCCATTAGAATTAGGGTTTTAATCATCCCCGGTATCCCACTCTGTCTCCTTTATATTCTATCCACAGTTCATCCTTCTTGCAGTTCTTTCCCTCTTTATTTCTTTCGCTTTTCTTTTTAATTTGCATTGAACTTTCAAGAACTGATTTAATTTTGTTTAGTTTTTCATTCTAGTTTTAGAGAAAAGGCTGTGATGATAGACAACATTTCTCGATTCTGATCAGGACCAAAGAAAATTTGTTGCTCCTTGATGACAGTATTTGTGCGTGTCTGAGCCTTTCATTTCTTTGTTATATGTACTATTGTAAGAACATAGAAATTTAATAAATCCACTGTCGGAGTGGACATAGATTGGCATGTATTTGGAATTTCATTGTCCTTATGATTGGATTTAAGAATAAAATTTGATAGGTCGATTATTTCTCATCGTTCATAGCATGCCCCGCTGTTCTTGTGTATATTAACAGGTTTTGTTCTCTTATACATGCATATGATTAAGCCAATACTCATACAAACCTGTTATGAATGCCATACCCAACTAGTTTAGGCGTTTCATTGGATCTGAAACGGTTGATTTCAATTGCAGTCTGGTATAGATGGACGCAAATTTTCTAAAAGATTGTAGATCATACCTAGTTTCTAACAATTTTTGTTGTAATTCTTTGTATTATGCTTACAAAATTTGTTGCCGTTCTTTGTCTCTGTACTTTGGTTCAGTGGTTTGATTATATCTATTTTATTTAAGGGAAAAAATGCAAGTTAGAAAAGGCTCACATAGTTGGTTGGACATTGCACTGGAATGTGATAATTCTAATAAGCATTGGAAGTGAAGTGGTAAAAGCATACGCGGGACCCTTTAGAAGATATGGATGATTATATATTGATATATGGAAATAGGATGCGGATCACAAATATGAAGGCAAGCTTTCACATGGAAACAAAATAGATAAGAACGAAAGCAGTTCATAATTCATATCAATTAAGATATTTTATTTATTTCATCATTTTTTATTTATTGATTTCGTTTACATAATATATAATTGCAGTAAATTGGTACTCAAGAATTTAGTTACTTGCAAAATATATATTTATACTATTTAACCTAACTTGTCATCCTGCAATCACATAATAGATCTCACGTGTGTTATTGCATTTAACAACAATCTTATAGAAGTGACACCATTCATCATTTTATGTTGGTCTCTTTTTTAGAAATTAAACCAGCTAGGATTGTATGGCACACTTTTATTTATTATTTATCCGATTTTTACTATTTTTCACATAGTGTCGATTTAAATATATATATTAATCTTTCTCTCGTATATTATATTGCTATAATTCAACTTTTGTGTGTATGCATGTGTATGTTCTTTTTCCAAAAATAGTGAAGCATCAAAATTACGCTCCCTCACCAAACAGGAAAAGAGAATCAAGATTTTGTTGATATACTGTTTCTTGTTAGTTGAACATAGGTCACATCCCGCATTATGACAGAAAAAGTAAAAAATATCTTATTGTCTCGCACTATCATATGAACTACTATTCAACAAATTCAAAGGCAAACAAGAAAGAAGATTTCTCTTGTCTACTTGTAATATTGTTGTGGGGCCATATTGGGCTACTGGAGGTGGAAGATCCATGATAATGCAGGGCCTCATATATTCAGCTTTGAATAAGGCCCATATTTTTCACCACGCGAGTGAGACAACTCAGTTTTACATAGCTCTATGCTTGACAAGTGGCCCCAACAGTATGTTGTTGTGTTCACAAACTGCACCCATGCTGGTTCTTTTGTTGCCCATAGCTGAGGCAAATATGGGCCTAATAGTTATGGGACCACCTTGCTTGATGATTAAAGCCCAGATCGATCTTAAGGCATAATGACTCAAATATAAAAATATGAATTAGTCCTTAAACAGCTCCTCTACTATATAAAAGATGTTAAACATATTTCATTATCAATTATAATTTTTTAAATATTTTTTTTATAATGCTGTGTTTTGTTTTATTCTATTCCTGGCCAATTGCAATCCGCAATCTCTTGTGGAGGAGGTAAACAAATAAAATCTCTTCAATTTTGCAGTGTACTCGCTTCTCTTAGGTCTTACCAAATGGGGCTTCACATATTTAACAAAATGTACACACTAGTTGACTATACTTTTCAAGCAGGTGGCTGAAATTGTTTAGATTAAAGAATTATTATACAATTTTTTTGTTTTCAAATTTTAAAAAGATTAAGAAAAATCAAGTTGGACATTTTTTATTATTTAATGTTTGATAAATCATATTCCAAGAGTATCATCAGTCCTAAGTGATCCTAGCTGAATATCATTACTATTTTTTTTCTTTTGTTAGTAGTTGAGGACGGGGAAAGATAAGTAGACCAACATCTTTCTATACTGTACTATTTTTGTCTTGTTAGCATATTTAACACTTTTGAGAATTTAATAGAAGATACATAATTATTCAATTAATCTTTTCTTCGTTCATATATGTGATACGTAGGATCCTTAAATACCAATGAATAATGAGGATGGCTAATTGATTGCTAATTTCCTTGGTATGTATTTTGTTATTTTCTTTTAGATTAATGTTATTTGTACATTAAAGAGTTATATAATCAATTTTAAGAAAAGAAAGAAGGGCCTTATAAAGACAGAGAAGGTTGTATGTTTCTATTGTAAGAAGAAATTGTGTACTTTTGAATATTAACTCTTACATATATAAAAATACTATTCATTTATTTATTTGAATATCTAAAATAAAATGAAAAAGAAAAGAAAGAGAATAACGAAAATACTCAGTTAAAACTTAAAACATCCCATTCTCTTCTTTTTGTCTCTCTACTAATTTTTGCCATAATCACTTCAAAAGTAAAATAATAGAAACATGAAGTGGGTACTAGTCAGTATTCAGCAGGTATTATTTCTTTGATGACTCGTTCTTCTGATATTGATAAAGTTGCTGTGTTAAGAATTAAGATGCTGCTGCTGTCTGGTCTGTCTGGAAGGGATCCATGTGCTATCTCTGCACTATCATTATTATTGTTGTTCAGGATGCTATATATGTGAGCATTTCTACTTGGTCCCCAATAACGTGCTTCGAATGACAAATCAACTTGCCATGCCTTCATTTTTATGTCCAGTAGCTGAATTTCTACTTCAGCCTCTAGGATTACAATACTTACTTTTTGTTATTGTAGTGAAGGGTAAGAATCCCAAATGGGACTGAAGAATTATTAATGGTTGAGTCCGCACTAGGTTATCAATTATATTGTCCACGTCATAAAATAGTTTAGTTTCTTGTTTTCGAATTCCTATTGCACTATAGGAACCGATTTCAAATACATTCACAATATAGCTACGATTATCAACTCTCAAAATACCTACAGAATGACTACGTGTCCCAATTCTACTTTCTCACAATCTGACTATAAGTGTCAATCCTCGAATTCTCACAATTTGGTTGCATATGTCGGTTATAGTACAATGGAAGTAAAGGCGAATAAGTTGAACATAAATGCTTCGACAGATATAAGGAGAGAAGAAAAGTTGGGGACATGTTTTCAACTAGGACAAGTTTTCTTAATGAGGGAGATCTCTATTTATAGCATGACGCTCAAACAACCATGTGGATCTGACGGCCTAAAAAATATCTTGTCTCCAAACGGCTAAACGGTTTGACGACCTAGAAAAAGATCTCGTCCCCAAATGGCTAAATGATCCAACGACCTAGAAAAAACAAGTCTCATCCCCAAACGCCTAAACGACCCGACAGCCTTGAACCTACATGCATTAATAGTCTCGAGGATAATACTATGAGACCATTTAAGATGAATAGGCCTAAATATTCTATTAAGCAAGTAACAAAATGATATATTTTCCTACAGATTTTTCTAGATGATAAAAATGTGATATTGTTATAAAATGATATTTTGTTTATTAACGATGAGTTTACAAATAAGTTTTTTATGATATATAATAAGATGTCATTCAATTGAGTATTATGAGAATATTATTTAATAAAATTGAATATAGAAAATATTTAAGGATTATGATTAAGAAATTTAAGTATGAATTGCAAGTTCAAACACCTTGAATTGTGCTACAATTTCATTTTATTGTATGTACTAAAATAGCAGGATTAGCCACAACACAATAATTTTAATTAAAATCCAAAAAGTTATAATTTCTCTCATCAATCATGATACTTACATTTGGAATGACATAATTAATAAGACAACATTTTATCCCCTTATTAAACATCTATGATCTCATGTTGAAAATAAGAATATATTAATAAACATGGGATAGCCTACCAAATTCATCTGTTTGTTTTTGGAAACTTCAACATTAAAATATGGACTTAAAAGTTAAAACTACAAGTTTAACCGGAAAATAACTTAAGAGACTAATTAGAAATAGAAAACAGTTTAAAAATAAAAATTATTTACACCAAAAAAACTTATTATAGGTTAAACTTAAAAACAAAAGCACTTTAGATCAGGAATATAATATATTTTTGCCATTAGCCCTCGGAACACCACGTGCGCGTTCCTCGTGTCTATGCTCCGGAGTCTACTATCATCTCTTTCTCTTCCTTAATTACATCTAGTGTCATATTATCATGCTTTTGAAAAAATATATGTAAATTAAAAATTGAATCATTAATTAGTTTTTTAAATAATAATAATTGAAGACATGCTAGTAACACAATTTATAAGACAACATTAATATATCCCTTTTTCCATACAATCAAATTAGTGAAATATCCTTATATCTATCTACATCCACCCAAAATCCAAAGTTTAATATTAATAAATAATTACATTATAAATGAATATAAAACAAAAAATAGTAGAGAATCACAAAAATGAAGAGCAAGACCATTCCATCCCCTTCTCCTTCTTCTCTTCCCCCAACTCACTCACTCTTTGACTCTCCCTCTCTCGCCTAACATAATAGAACAGAGACACATCAATAGCGACCAACATCACCACCTTTTTCAACCTCTGTACATATATTGTTAATACAAACATAATATAGACGATGAATGTTGGGATTTTTGTGTTACTGGTTTCAGTTATTACAATTGTTTCATCAGATCCAAGTGACGAGGCATGCCTAACTCACCTGAGCAATTCGTTACAAGACTCAAACAAGAAACTTGATGACTGGACAAAAAACAACTTCGCCATCCCTTGCAACGACTCCACCGCTAATCTGAAAGGTGCCACGTGTAACAATGGTCGCATCTACCGTCTC